GCTTGTCCGTCGTCGAGCGAGAAGGGTCCGAACCCAAAGCACGCGTTGGATTCCTGCTCGTGCTCTTCTCGTCGCAGAGGAGTCGCTGCAAGAGCAGGTCGTTTTCGTGGCGACGCTCCCCAGCATGCGTTTGCGTCAACGCACCTACAGTATTGTCCATCAATAAATATACATTCTACGTACACTGCTACAATAGTACCTAGCACTGGAACACAACCTTCTTTCCAAGCTCTTAAAAGTCGAGGTCTGCGGACGAGCCCGTGCGATGGCTACAGAAACTAGGCCAGCGCCCTCTTTTGGTCCAAATAAGACGATCCGATCTTATCTGGTCTATCAAGACTTGTCTGCTAGTTCATCGCGAGCACGGCTGAACGCCGGGTGTCTCATGTCATCGTACACTATTCAGACGCACTAAGAAACGAGGGTTAGGCTCGATTCGTACACTGATCCCTGCACCTGGATATGGCCCTTGATATTGCACTTGATATTGCACCTTTAAAATCTGAGCGCACATGCATCCGTGGCAATCCATCGCGCATCCCTCCAACACGTTGGCGAGATCTTGTTGTTGTTTTCATTTGTATGTAGAATAGTGTACACACATCAATTCTATATGTCTCTTGCATGCACGCGCTAAAGACGCCGGCAGCGCGTCGCGACGCTGTCGTTGTCGGCGCTTAAAGGGACGCACATCGAGCCGTCGTAGCACGCGCCGCGGTGGCACCTCGACCCTTCAAAGCCCGAGAGATCGCTGGGCACGGCGCAGATCTTCTCGGTGCATATCGCCGGCCACGCACAGAGGATGCCGGGGGCGTCGCAGGCCGACCCGCGCTCGACGTACGTCGAGCAGAGGCCGCGCGACGGTGCGCTCTCGTGGTAGCATAGACTGCCGTCATTGCACTTGCCATCAATGCAGGGTAGCCCGAGCGAGCCATCGGTCGCGGTCGGGCGCAGCGCGGTCACGGCCATGAGGAGGAGCCCGATCGTCGTCGTCCGGATCATGATGCAAATCAAAAATAAAGATTTCGACGGCGTAACTCCTGGAGGGCTATTTCGAATCGTCGTTGGCCCTCAACTGCTTTAGTAGCCACTCGCTCGCAACGACTTGCAGCCATATATTGAAACAACGTTTTCTGCGCATGGACCCTTCGGCCGAAGGGTGCATCCAGCGATATCTGCACACACATTTACTGTACTACACTACAACACTAGAGCGCCTACAGGGAATCGTCAAGCCGGAATGGCTTCTGCACGGAAGGGTGGCCTGAGTTACACGAAACGATGCCATATATATTGCATAGATATATCTTCGAAACCCTTTCTCGATTGAAAGATATCCGGATAGAAACGTCCCGTACAAAACGCACCAATCCCGGTCATGCCTATCCGGATCGCCCGTCCAACCGCAGCTTCAACCGCTGGCACGAATGTTCGCGTGTCGTGTCGTGGCTACTGAGTCCCTCGCTACAGTATCAAGCGATGTGATAGCGCTGGACGACGACGACAGAGTCTTGCTTGCATTCAGATATCGAGGCATTGGGACATTGCGCCTGAGCTCCCCCCGCTTGGTGCCACGTTGTCGAACGACACGGACGATGGAAGCGACCACAGGCACGGAGTTTGTTATCCATGGACACTACCGCGTTCTTGGAACTCCTTAACAAGCATGGGGGCGGCCATTAGAGCGCTAATCGACTAGAACGATGTTGTTTCGCTACTACACGCCATGGACGGTCGATGGTCGACGCCGGCCAGCTCTGTCGGCACCTGCAGAAAGCTCGATAGCTCGTGCATCAGCGCATTAGTGTCATCGTTGGCTTGCGGTCCTAGCATCGTCAGCGCGCTGAGGACCGCATGGGCAAGGTGCACAAATGCAGACACGAGCTCGGCACGCGTCGCCAAGCGCAACGCCAGACACGGCAGTGGCTCGACTGGAAACTGAAACTGGACGAGCAAAAGGAGGTAGTACTCGGTCGCGCTCTTGGATCCGAGCAGTGACGGCAACCACGCGTCCAACGCCGTCTGAAAAGCCATGCAGTCGCGGTATCGGGTCGTGAGCGTCCAGACACACTTGGTGGCGTGCAGCTCGACAGCGTAGACGGTGCGAAAGGTGTGGCCGCGGACACAGTACGTCACGGTTGACGCTGCTGACGAGGACGTGGGTACGAGCACGAAGCTTGTCATCGTTTGGCAAATACAATACTGCGGGTGGCCGGGATCGATACATGTACTACGAGTCCATGAATCCAGGGGGCCATCCCACTGTCGTCGCCATCCTCTCGGGTCCGAAACCGCATCAGCCGTTCCCAACGCGTTGATCGCTTGCGTGGGCATCGTTGCTATTCTGCGGATGGTACAAAGCTAAAAGGTGGGGATGGGCTGCAGTGCAACGCGTTTCTTCGCGAGTCGAGTACGAATCAGTGAATACTAATACTATATAACTAGACGTGAAAGTAGTCACGTTCGCCAGTTTTTGGTGAAGTGTCGACGAGTTGACGACCAGAAAACATAGTTTTGTGTAGCAACACAAATCACGGTGGCGACCGAAGGATGCAGCAGCTAGGCATAAAATCATTGGTGGGGGGCTGGGTGGGGGGCTTCTGCAAAGAATCCAGTGCCATGGCAACCTCGAAACAGTCAAGACCACCAAGGATGATTACTCCCTTGATACCACCCAAGACTGCAAACCTGATGTGTTTGAAAGAATCCAAACGCAAACTATCTTTCCTGCAAATTCAATCCTGTAGAGTATCCTTGCGTCGCGCCGTCCTAGAGATCCGATGGCGTCCACAACAACGGACTTGGTGGTTGCTGCGATATCATCGCCGTTATTATCACAACGTTTAGTACTTGAAGACTCACTTTTATCCAATCAGCGATACCACGACCATGCCAACGATCCCGCAAACTCGTCTCTGCTCGCGTCCGTGGGCGATTCGAATCACAGGTCCGAGGCTGGCAGCCGCCCCGACGGCTTGACGAGGATACCTGCGAGTTTGGCTCGGACGCTGGCGCCACTTACGAGCGTCGCGCCTTCGTTCTCGAGCCGCTCCAGCGGGATGCTGGTGCACTCGGCCAATATCGCATTGGTCGACGCCATCGTTCTCTCCGGGTCGCACGATTTGATGACGTGTCGCAGCGTGTCCAAGCTCAGCATGCCCTTGCTGTCGGGTCCGGCTTGCTTCTCAGCCACGTGCACCGCCGTCTACACGAACATTTACAACTTTAAAATGAAAATGAGAGAGGGTCGAAGGCCGTACCAGGAGCGATTTTTTCAAGTGTACAATTTCGTCCAGATGTTGGTGTCGAAGGCACTCGCAAAACGACGAGAGGTTGCCATGGCGGTCGGGCTCGAGCAACGCTGCGTACGGGATGTAGAGGACGCCCTACGCAGAAACCATCACAATGCAAGTCGCCACCACCTCGAGAGGACCTTGGCTTCGAAAAGCAGCGCTTTGCAAAGCGCTGCAATCGCTGCTTCCGTTTTCCACGGGAAAAGGATGCGCAGTTCTCGCATCGCGCCGCCCACCGAGACGAGGCTAGTCAGGACACGCTCGTAATCAAGCACTTTTACCAAACTGTTGTGTCGTGACATCAAGACACCTACCCCTTGCGTTTGTTGGCGACGACGTTTTCGGATTCGTTCTTTTCGAGCGTCGTGTACGCTTCGTGCACGATGTAGACAACTAGGATGGACAACATGTCCTTAGAGTATTTGAAAACTGAAGGAAAAATACCTTGAAGCTGGTCCAAGCGCGTGGCCTCGGGCACCTCGCCGTGCAGCGTCATTTCAAACACACGGCACTCGCAACCATAGTTGTACTGCTTGAGTGCTGCACAAATGTTGTATGCGCCTATTGTGGAATGTATCAATGTATCAATGTGTCGACACAACGCATGGACCACTGTACTTTCAACCGCGTCGGCGCGGTGCGGAAATTTCTTGGCCAAATATGCGGCGAAAAACTGCCGCAGCG